TGCTGTGCTAGCGGTGAGTGTACGTTTTAGCCGGGCGGCATCACCTTTTTTTCCTTTACAAGTTTTGTCATATAGCATCTCGGTGTTTGCAACTTGAGTGACAATTTGTTCCCCATTGACAGCGTCTGTACTTCACACGTGTTTAACAATGGGACTGTTTAATTTGTCCCGGCAAGTTCAAACCGCCGTGGCGTAGACGGTGATAATTTATGCAGTGCTACGTGTGAGCGGGTCAAATGGACGTAAACAATGCATCCTATTAGACTGGCGGTGAAGTTGTAAGCATGGCGGTCCGAGCCCAAGCGTGGCGGCCGGGTCGCCAAGCATGGCGGTGCCGCCATGCTTTGTTCTATGTGGGGAGAACACTGCTGAGTTATTTGTGTACATACCTGTATGTTCAAGTCACACTCACTATTTGTATCACTTTCTGTTTCCTGGCAAACAAAGCTGATTTCTTTGCTAATATCAGAGATACATTGAGTATTGATTTTGGATAAAGTACAAGTATGCTGATCTTCCATTAACTATATAATTAAAAATACAAAATAGATAACTTAATAATAGCATACATGTAGCTTTGGATGTAAATTTTGGAAATATGACAAATTATTACAATTAATTCCTGTGTGATTTTGTTCAACTATTGTTCACCACAAAGGATTTTGTTTGTTGGTTCACCAACTTTTCATAGCCTAATGTAACACATCATAGTAGCTAGTCAATGAATAAGCACTCTCAGATGAGAGCATACCACAAGAATGAATATAAACAAGTCATTGTCAATGACACGTCCCCGTTCCGTTCATATTTGAGTGACATATACATTCAAAGCAGATCATGACCGAAATGCACCTGCATATGTACAACACATTGTGCTAAATCTGAACAAAATCCATCCATGCATGACTGAGATCCGGTTCTGGAATTGTGAAAATACGTGATTTTGATGCATTTTCGGCCTTAAATTGACCATCATTCCGCTATTGTTAAGCAGATCATGAAACAAATGCACATATCTATTTGTGACATGATGTACCATGTGTGTGTGAAGTTTGAACTTGATCAATCCAGACATGTCTTGGATACGGATCCAGAACTGAATTCTTTAACAAAATGGCCACCAGTCGGCCATTTCGAACTTGATCCGAAAAAAAAAAAAGACGTGCA